AAGAGTTCAAAAACTAAGAAAATGGCCAACTTAATTGTAGGGACAAGTCTGGAGTTAAATATTATATCCCAGAATTTAATCGGGAAGATCGAACCACAACAGAAGATATATTAAGTACATGAGACTGAACTGGTGAAATAGCACTTTATGACTTTTGACTAAAATATTGCTGATTTTCTTCTATGCTTTGTTGTCTGGTTTTAAGGATTTGTGTCCTGTCTTGAGCTGTCGATAGGTTCATGTACGTACTATTTGAACAGAATCCTAATCTATTTTCTGGCTTTAAGTTTTAAGCAAAGTTCCTTAGCATTTATTTGATTTAAGTTAAAACTGCTTTTCTTGATTACCAGCTGAACTTGCTATTGAAAGTAGTTATATTATTCAAGAAATTGTGTGATCAATATAATGTGGGGGGAAAAGGAATGGAAGACAACTGTAGACACCAGAGATAGTGTGAGAAGAGGGTGGGAAAGGACAGGTAAATTTACACCTATTCTGACCCTCTGTCCTTTCCAATCTCTGGTGTCATATATATATATGAAACTATATATATATACACACACACACATATATATATATAAATGAAACTAGATATAGATATATATGAAACTAGAAATGGAAAATTATTGATGATAACATGCATGATTAAGCCACTATGCAGTATATTCTGGATGGGAAATCACATTTTGTATGCTGTGATGATGCTTAGACAATGAATGTAAATTAATTAAGTTAAAAAAGAACTTTCAGAAAAAAAATTCCACAAAAACTCTTTTTCTTGAAATTAAAAAAAATGCATTAAAAATATTTATTTGATGACTGCAGTAAGCTAAATAGCCCCAGCTAGGTGCTACTTTATAGTATGTTCATTCCAGTCAGTGAGGTTTATGCCTAAAGTCAGACTTGTGTTCATGGATATGTATATATCAGCTGTGCTTGCTATTGAAAATATTTAGATTAATTAAGATCTTTAGTGAATCAATAAAATGTGGGGGGGAAAGGCATAGAAAGAAAACATGGATACCAGAGACAGTGTGGGAGGAGGGTGGCAGAGGGTGAGAGATAGGGAATCAAGGATGGGAAAAGGCAAAATATACAGGAAACAAGAAATGGAAAATTATTTGTTGAGGATAACACGTATGTTGATGTGCTTGATTGAGCCAATATGCAGTGTATTCTGGATGGAAAATCTCATTTTGTATGCTATAATGATGTACAGTGAGTGAATGAATGTAAATAAATACATTTAAATATAAATAAATAAATAAATCTAAAAAGTCCCAGCTCTATTGAATAACTCATTTATTCAATTGCTAGTCCTTGAGCACCTGCTATGTTCAAGGCATTACACCCAGATAATTAACTTTTTTTGCCCTCAACATAAACCAGCTCAGGAACCAGCAGTTAGCATAATGGCTATGTCGCTGGACTCCCACGTAGTCGACCGTGGTTCATGTCCCGGACCCGGTGGCTTGAAACTCACGCCGGGCGCGTGTGCGTGCGTGCCCAAGATCCCGAGAGGAGAATGGAGAAGGGACTGCGGCGTGACCATCCCCCCTGGGGGGTGATTTCTTGCTTTCTGTCTCTCTGTCTCTCTCTGTCTGTCTGGCAAGCGCACGCGTCCTATAGCGAAAACCTCTCCAAAAAAAAAAACACAAAACACATAAGCCAGCTCAAAATTCAAAAAAATATATTATATTTACTTTATAATCTGTATTATTTTAATTATGTTATATGTACTGTGTAACATATATCAATATATAGTATATTAAATATACATTATATACATTATATCATCTTATTAATATGTATTTTATGTTACATATATTTCAAAAATTTCATCAAAAATGTAATTAAAGTATGATTTTGGCTAGGCTTATAGCCCAGCAGTTAAGGGAGCAGCATTCCACATGGCCAACTGCAGTTCCTATCTTTTTTTTTTTTTTTCGGAGAGGTTTTTGCTATAGGGTGCATGCACTTGCCAGACAGAGAAAGACAGACAGAAAGGGAGAAATCACCCCCTAGGGGGGATGGTCATGCCACAATCCCTTCTCTTCCATTCTTCTTTTGGGATCTTGGGCACGCATGCACATGTGCCTGGCGTGAGTTTAAGCCTCCGGGTCCAGGACTCGAACCATGGTCGACTACATGGGAGTCCAGCGATATAGTCATTATGCTAACTGCTGGTCCCCAGTTCCTATCTTGACCTAGGAACTTGAAAAATATGCTGTGTGCACATGCCCCAAATCCTCAATGGAAAAATGGAGGAACAAGGATTGTGGCATGACCACACTTCACTGGGTGCTGTGTTTCCCTCTCTCTTTTTGTCTGGTGAGTAGACTCACCCTCTGGCAATTAAAAAAAAAAAAAGGTATGAATTTATTTTGGTGCAAAAAGTTGAAAT